ACACACACACACACACTCACACACACACACACACACACACACACTATGTTGCTTCTTTATGAGGTAGAACCACGCAAGCTAAAAATAAAATCCAAACGTTCACAACATGAATTTAATTAGAGCAAATTAATTCAGCAACAGCTAAAACAAACATCAAATGTTGGCAAAAGTTCTGCCTGTTTTCAATACTGTAAAAATAAATGAGTTGAAGACACTGTTAAGCTTTATATTTACACTACTTCATGTAACGTTTTCAAGTATTTTTACTTTCATTTGGTTTTCAAAGGTAAGTTAGTAAGTAAGTAAGTAAGTAAGTAAGTGTCTATCTATCATCTATCTATCTATCTATCTATCTATCTATCTATCTATCATCTATCCATCCATCCATCCATCCATCCATCCATCCATCTATATATCTATCTATCTATCTATCTATCTATCATGCCTTCTGTCATTCCTTTCATTCATTCATTCATTCATGTTTAAGTAGGTAAAAATAGTGTAACAGAGTTTCATAGTGCAGCAACAGTATCAGCCTTCTGTCTGCACCCACTCACTCGCTACAAAATTAAGTGTTGCACAAATGAGCCGAGTGGATAAGTGAAGAAAGCAGAATCTTGTTTAAATGCTGAAAAATCAACAGTGTGTCTGAAACCAGAGGTGGGTGGATGTACTCACTCTGTGATTTTGGGGTCGATGTTGCCTATCCACAAACGATTTCCGTCATGCGCCGTGCTCTCTGAAATGATAGAGGCATTTTCCACAGTTTCTGCAGCAGACGACATGTGTTCTCTGTGGAAAGCAGGAAGCAAGACTGTTTGCATACAGAAAGTGGAGGAGAAACAKCCTGTCTGCATAATCTTTTACTTCAAAAGCTTTTTGGAATTTGTGCAATAACTTAAAAAATATCAGTTTCCAAAGTGAAGTCAGACCAAATATTGTCKAATATAGGACAAGTTAATATTTTTATTTTAAAGAACAGATTTTTTACATGCAAAAACACAGTTTATAGAGAATGACAAACAAGCAGCAAAATAAGAGGGCATAAAAGATAAACTGCAACCAACACAAAGCTTTGCATTCTTTCATTATTTGTTGACAAAGATCTGTGTGCTAGCCAAAATAAAGAAGAGAAAAATAAAAACTACTTTGACATTTAAATAATTGACTTTAGCCTTGAATGATATTTGGCAAACAATAGGAAGAAGAAACCATAAGAATGGTTCTCACTTTCTTTTTCTCAAGTGCAGAAAAAAAAACATTTTACAACTTTATAGTATTTTATAGTAGTATCACTTCCCAAACCTTTGTCCTTGTAAAGTGATTGTTTATTTTAAAGAGAATAACAAATGACAAAATGAGGGGAAAAGGTGAAACGTCAACTTTATACTTAATACATTTCTTTCTACAACAATAAATTCAAGCCAAATGTACACGATTTGTTTATAATCTAATCACAAAATGAAAACTGTCAAACAACAAAGTACTTTAGAACATTTACGTTTTACTTAAGTGTGTCATACATAAAACTTAATTGTTATTAAACTTTAAAGTATCAAAGTTGTTTTGAGCAGAGTGTGTTATTATGAGCAGTGAGTGAAATAACACTTTTTTGACAGGTTTCCGTGTGTTTCTGTTAACACGACGAAAACGAGAAACTCATTGTTCACAACTATATACCGTTATTATTACTGATCAGTCAGATAAATCACCTTGTATAATCCCATGCTAATAGTAAGAATGTTTCGATAGGAATAACTAAATCGAAAACTAAACAACAACCCGTTTGGAACTAGCAGTAAGTGTGCTGTTAGCACCTAGCTAGCTTCCCTTACCTCGTTGTTCTGTCAAACTTCCTCTTCAGTAAGAGACTCCTACGACTCGAGGTTGTGATAAATCCCACTTTCGGGATAATTAGGTCTATCAAAATATCTCTCTAATCATTCCGGACATCAGTTTTCTTCCTAAATAATTAACTGAGTTAACTAGCTCAAAGGAAAGGTAGCCGCTTTGCTATCATACCTGTCAACAATGGCGCAGGGTGATGTTGTCGGTTTTTCACAGTCTAAGAAGTACGTCTAGGAGCGTTCGGTTTATTGTACTGCATGTCCCGTTTGTTTCAGCGTTGGAATTTTACTTAGTCAATGTGTAGCTCCGCCCATTTGGTATGACCCGTGTAATGTTTGAAGCATAATTTGTTTGTAACCACCGCGCTTGTTGATGACGACTTGTTTCCTCCTTGAGCTAACATGCTTTTTATGTAAAAACTCAGAGCTTTTGGTAAGTATGATATTATGGAGATAATAATTTAAAGGTACGTGATGCCTTTASTGAGCATGTAACCGTAAAACACACGTCGTTTATTAAATAACTGTGAGGGTGTCGTGTATTTTGTTCATAGTCGCATTACGAGAGTAAAATTTGTGCGACCTTGACTTTGCACGGTTTCCTGGTAATTAGCTTATTTTTTCTTGGATTTTTTTAAAGCAAAAATACGTTTTTGTCGATCATTTTATTAGGGTACTAAACATAAAAGCTTAAGACGTTGAAGTTCTGGGTCAAAAATGTAGCCTGCCTAAAACGCATATTAACGAGCATTACACGTGGGACAGGGGCTGTTTTTTTTTTTTAACCCCTAACAAACAGCTTATTGTGCAGTGAATGCCCAAACTGAGCAAAGTTGAGTGCAAAACAAAGTGTCAAGTATGAAAAATAGATAAAAGCAGCATCTCAAAGTCATAATATTGAAGGAAAAAAAGATAACCCAGCAAAGGACTTGAGAGGATTTTATTTATCTTGAGTTATCAGCTGATAATATTTTAATAATTACCATCTTTGTGTTAAAATACAATTTTTTGTCTGTCATCGTTTGTAATATATATATATATATATATATTTATCTGTATCATTCATTCATCCATTATGTTTACCCATTTCTTTTAGTCATGGAGAACTGATGCCTGTCTCCAGCGGTCTCTGTCTGACAGGTGGGGTACCCCATGGACAGGTTGCAAGCTCTACCTGCTGCACCACTGGGCCATACTCAGAGATTTAGTTTGAAATTGTTTTGCTGAGTTTGTTTAGTAGAAACATACATAAGATCTAGTCAATTTAAAATGATCAATGTTAGCTTGCAGGAAGAATTTGGTAATGAACAGTAGTTAGAGTTAGGGCTTTAATAATAATGTAATAATATACTTTGTGATAGACACTTGATCAATATCAATAGAAAACTTGTCTAATATGGTCCAGAATCGCTTGGCATTCTGGGGGGTGTAGGCAGAGAAAAGGCTTTAGCCGCTCAACCTCTAGCAACAACCTGTAGAGTAACGCGTGCAGTAGTTTCACTCTTCACCACCGTGCCTCATAACTGTTTAAAAATAAAAAAAGAACGACGTGGAGTGAAAGGAGAAAATGAGCGCAACAACTCAGAATTTTGGATAAATGAGGAAAAGGTCACTTCAGTTTGGCAGTATTATTCAGCTTTTTTTCTCCTCCGTCCTTCAAATAAGTAAAATAAAAAACGAATCAATAATTATTGTTATCGGCTGATTTGAAAATCTATGATGCGGTATGTTTTTCATCCATATCGCCCAGCCCTAGTAAGAACTGTCGCCTTTCAGTGACAAGGTCATCGTAGGATTGTAGGATTTTCTGGGTGGGGTCTGCATGTTCGCCCCATGCACATGTGGGTTTTCTCCGGGTACTCCTGTTTCCCACAGACCAAAAGCTTAGGTTAGTTAATTCTAAATTGTCTCTAGGTATGAGTGAATGTTTGTCTCTATGTGTCCCTGTGATGGACTTGCCACCTGTCCACAGTTAACCCCGCCTCTCGAATATGGCGTTACTACCTGGAAGGGAAAATTGTGTTAAGATAACGTGTGGAATTCATTTATTAACTATTAAATGAGATGTAAAGTTATTATAAACAAAAATGCAAAAAGACAGTTTTTTTTTTTTAAACTACGGTAAGTGCATATTGCTTTGTTGTCTAAAGGTAATAATTAATATAATTATGTCTTTGTTGTAAAATGTGTCACTTTGGAGCAGTGACATCAGCAGTTTTTCTCCCTTTTCTTCTGGCACTTTTATTAACTTGTGATTTTCACCCCCCCTCCCTGCTAAAGGGTTTGTTTGAGGAGGCAGCRCCGTGCAGAACATCATCAGATACTCTTCAGTGTTATTTTCTAAAGCAAACAGAAGGGAGCATGCGGGCCGACCAGCTGTCTCCCGCTGCTGGAAGAAGCAGAGGTGTGTCTGCAGCTGTTTGTGAAACATCTACAGGATGTGAGACTACAGTATCCCACTGAACACCTGTGCTTCACTTTGTCTGCCTGACTTCCTCTCTAAAGAGATCTGTCACCTTCCCACATCTCTGCCCATCAACTCCGCCACAGTGTGGCGAATCGTGTCAGCTTGGCAGGAAACCTACCAGCCGTGGCTGCCTGTTACGGGTTTGCATTGGAGGCGGCGTCCGAAGTGTAGCCTAAATATTGCCGAAGTAAGATTTTTCATAAAATAGAATTTGAATTGACAAAAAAAATATTACATTAACTTTACATAGTCTGAGAGTTAGTTGGATAAAAACATGACAGAAGAATAAAAACTTCTAGGAAAAAAATTCCTGGCTAAATGTTTTTACGTCTGAACTATTTCAACACAACAGGATTATGTTTTCTTCCTCGCAGATAAGTCATAACTCCTCGTCAAACAATAAAGGATGGCAGTGAGGGAAAAGCTCGCCACAGGTTGTTCACAGCCACTGACTGTGACAGACAGAGTTTAGTGTAAATATTCAATAACGCAGAGATGATTTTTGTACGTTCGAACATTGAAGGTCAGCGGCACGGTTCATCGTCGCAGGGGAAAAACAAATACAAGCAGGGATTTGATTCTTGTGCAGAAAGGCAAGGCGTGGAGTGATACTGTTGGGTGTTTTTGAATGGGAGGTTCTCACACAGGAATGCCCGAACGACTGCGTGGGCTGGGAGCTGTTTGCACGAAGCCTCACAGCACCACTGATGTGTGGTGCACGTGTTGGTTTTGGGTTTTGTATTTCGTCACAGAAAGCAAAACAAACCACTTTGCAGATTTATGGTTTGTTCAGTTTGTTTAACAGAAAATAGGGTCAAACATCCTCTAGTTTGGAAATTACTTTTTGCTTCATTAAAACAATTTATAGAAAAACAGTTCAGTTGAGCCTTATTACAATGCAACAAAATAATTGTGAAATGTGTAATTTAAAGCCAACTCATATTTAGCTCAGAACTACTGAAAAACTTACGTACATTGTTGAAAACGACCCCCTTGGACTGTGAGTCCGACATGCCTGCATCTAAAACTGCACAGTATTTTCCTGTTATTGCCTTGTACAGTATTTTATTATTTTATTTTATTGTAACTATTGCTATTTATTATTTCTTATTTCCTATATATTGTCTTTTAACACTGTCTTTTTGTGTGAACCTGTATATCTGCTGCTGATGACAAGTGTTATATAAAGTACCACAAATCGATACTTGAGTAAAACAAGTATCTTACCAAAAATTGCTTTGGTAAAAGTTAGTTTCCTTTAGGAAAATTACTTAAGTAAAAGTCTTGAAGTATCTGATATTTTTTGTACTTAGGTATTAAAAGTAAAAGTATTGATTTAAAATGAGCAGTTAGATTTTCTGTAAAGACATTTATTAGGAGGTGACCTCCCTCAAAAATACTGAAATGACTGTATTTTATTAAAATAATTTATTTATGGGATGCACTAGTCCAGCTCTTTCAGTTTATATACAAATATCAAGTGTGTCCAAACCTTTTCCCCAAAATAAAAATCTATCCGAGGGCTGCAGCCAAATACAACAATATAATTCATGAAATACAAATACTTCATTTAAGTACAGTCCTTTTATTTTAATGATTATGTCCTGCTGGAGTGTGACATGATTTGTTTGTGTACAAACTAATACGGTATCAGAATTTTATATATTAATACTTCTCATTCAACCACAATTAAATTCACTCTATAGGAGGCACATTGTATATGGATAGTATTTATTTTTTACAATGACAAGCTGGCATGAAAACGAGCAAAAATGAAACAAAAGTAACGACTTTCTACTTCTTGCCTTTTTTAAAAATGTAAGGAATAGAAAGTACAGTTAAATGTGTGAAAATGTAAGAAGTAGAAGTAAAAAGTAGGCTGAAAAATAATTACTCAAGTGAAGTACAGATTCCCAAAAATTCTACTTAAGTATAGTAAAGAAGTATTTGTACTTAGTTACTTTACAACTCTGCTGATGACCTGAGTTACCCCTCTATGGGACAATAAAAGCTGTTTCTATTCTATTTTATTCTATTCTAAAGTAAATCCATCACACTTTGGTATCTTCATATATTCAGAAAGATGAGTTGATGGTATTGTACCTCCTGCTGGCAGATCTGAGCTATTGCCTCGTTTTAAAAAGCGTTACAGGTGCAGCTGATTCCTGGATGATTTGTGACTCTTGTGCGTTTGTGTTCTCTGACCAGTCTCTTTAATTTACACTCACCCCTCGCCTTGTTAACAGATATGGCGCTGAATCGTTTGTGCGTGCTGCGACCTCTGCTGTGTCAGTCCCTGGTGCGACACCACAGCTCCCCCCGCCCAGTCACCTCAGGGGTCAGAGTGAGACCGCCTCTCTGTCCTGGCAGCCCCCAACACCCCGCTGCCGCTGCGTGCATCAGGCTCTACGCCACCAAGAAGGCAAAAGGTCAGAGAAGTTAGCGCTGAAACTGAAGCCCCTGTATTTCCACTGGCACAGATGTGTTTGCTGATAGAATGTGATTTCTCTCACACGTTCCCCTTCTTTATCATCCCAGCAAAGGCGAAGGCAAAGGGCCAGTCGGTTAAGGTGAACATTAATTCCTCTCTGGTGGAWGACATCATCAATCTGGAGGAAGTGCAGGAGGACATGAACGCTGTTCTCTCTGCACTCAATGACGAGTTCACTCGGAGCCTCAACATCCGAACTTCGCCAGGTAGTCCGCTCACCTCTCTTGGACCATCTCAAACTCCGTGTGTCTCCTTAATCTGCCTGATTTTCTTTCTCACACACTTCAAGTGCAAAAGACTGCAGTTATTGATGAGGTAAATGTAGATGTTTACTCTGGAGCTCAAAACATCTTCAGTAAAAATTAGCTGCTCACAAAGTCACTCTAGATGTTTACAGATATTTATGTCCTACACAATCTTTATTTATTTATTTATTTTTATTTTTTTTTAGAAATTATAAATCCCACCGGACTGTGTTCCTACTGTATGTTGAGCTTCCCCTCACTTGTTTGCTTAGCAGAGCAAAACTTGATTTTAATTTTTCTAAATTTTTATTTTGGTTGTTCGCTGGCTTTATTTGTCCCTCATCTTCAGTCCAGTTTCCAAAGACTTCGATGAACACAAACCCAGGACTTACGCAACTCAAGCTATAAACCGGTGTTGTGTCTACACATAAAATAAATGACATTTTTATCTTGAACCTTTTTCTGACCAAAATGTCACCTTCCAAAACACAAAACTTGTTCACATTTCTTTATCTGAAATGGTAAAAAGTACCAACAACAACAKTTTTATAGGCAAAAACTGTATTTTTGGAATCAAGTGAGTCATTTCTAAATTATTATTAACTAAAAACAAAATATAAAAATAATGATATGCAATGTTCCCTCAATGAATTTGACTACAGAGGAGGTGTGTGGATGTAGTGAAGGAGGATTTGTGGAGGGTTGGAGCGACAGAGGAGGAGGAAGAAGGTAAAGTGAGATGAAACTACATGATTTGAAGAAGTTTCTTTAGAATTTGGGGGAAAGTCTAAAAAGCGTCTACAGCACATGAATATTATTTGAAAGTCACGTCTTTAAAAAAGAAAAATATGGACTTTGTATCAGGCTATACAGGAAGTCATTTTTAACGTAGCAAAACAGATAAAAGCTTAGACTAAAATTTGTGTTAAAGTTCTAAAATAAAAAGAAAATCCAGTTAATTTTTTTAAATTTTAACATAAAATATAATTTGCCTTAGGATTCAAAAACTGTCTGAGTAGCTTATTTAGTTTTTCTCCATGTGTCAACCTAAACCCCTTCATCTAATTGATTCATCTTTATCGCCCATTTTCACTTTCTAAAAGTGTGTTTTWAACTTCCTTTCACTCGAGGGCTTARTGTGAGGAGATCCATGTGTGGTGTTCCTTTGACCCCACTCTGGCCTTTGTTTCCTCAACTACATCCAGGTCGTGACCTTTTGTTTCTGGGTTCTAAAGAGTCAGAGCAGAGCTCTGAGAGTCAGAGGCGGACTGTTTAATGGAAGCTCCCAAAGGAGGCGGCTGCGGACACAACCAGACCCAGAAACTCAAACTTGTCTGTTCAACTTTTTCCTCCCAAATTCGTGTATTTTACACAGAAAACAGTCAGCAACAATAGAAGCTTTTATTTGCAAGGATTTCATTTCTCCATTCACCAAAGTCATGTTTAATTTTCTCTAAAACAATTCTCGTACTGTTGAATCCAAAATTTCTATCAAACCATTTGCTCATAGGCAGTTAAACGGATTTCTTCCTCCTTTTTTTTTCTTTTTGGAATGGGAACATGGAGATGCCTTTAATAGATTATCTGCAGTACACAGAGGTCAGCTTATTTTTAATTGACAAGTATAAAAGTCTGTAAAAAGACCCATTCAAAAGCAATCATATCCTATAAATAATCATAAGAGATAATCATACCAGTGTTTCTAAAGTCTAAAAATAATTCAATTCAGTTTATTTATATAGCGCCAGGTCACAACATGTGTCGTCTCAGGGCACTGTACATGAGAGAAAACAATCTAAAGAAGCCAGCTTATTGTGTTGAATCACTTCGTCACAGTCTCCCACCCTGAGCATCAGACAGTGGAGAGGGAAAAACTCCCTGCTAATCAGGAAGAAACCTCCAGCAGAACCAGGCTCAGAACAGGCGACGATCTGCCTCGACTGGCTGGTTGGGGGACAGGAAAGAGACACAGATAAACACAGGAGAACTGGTCCAGGTGTATTTTCTTYTGGAAAAGAGACAAAGAAAACACGTTATTGATATAAATAGTTGCAATAAACATGTAGAGAAGAGAGACTAAAGACAACAGCAGAGTGAGGAAATGTGCTCAGTTTGTGCTCCAGCAGTCTATAGCAGCAGAAATGAAGAATAATTCAGGAAACCTAAATCTAACTATATGATTTATCAAAAAGGAAAGTCTTCAGTCTAGTCTTAAAAACAGACAGAGTGTCAGCCTCACGGACAGAAACTGGAAGTTTGTTCCACAAATAAACATACATAAAATTTCTTAAAACAGCCTTGAATGGGCTGACCCCAGCAGATGCAAACGGATCACTGGCACCTGTCCATCTGAGCTTCTTTAATAAGTCTGGCTTGTTTTGTACAGTGAGGTACAGTTTTATTTAAACAAGTTCAGTTTTACTTCATCAGAACAATGTCCAAATGTCTGAGACGCCACATTCGCTTGTTATATAAAATACGACACTGATGGTGAATGTCCTCATCCATCAGGTGGTTTAAATATAAGAACGGTTTCCAAACGAATTAAAAAAAAAACATTATTTCTCCTACAGTGTGTTTCTCACACCACATTAGTTCCTCCTGACACGTTCGTTGCTCTTTTGGTGGCTCTGTGTCGATTATATTGACTTGTTTGTTATAAATTCTCCCTCTCTCTTCAAACTGACTGCTTCAGATGAACTCCTCATCGGTACTTCACGCAGTGCCACTTGGAAAATAAACTCTTCCCTTAATCTGAAGTCTCCCCCCACCCACTTCACTCCTTTCTCTGACTCATCCTCTGTAGCTCCATCCCTCCGTTCTGTCATCCTTCCTGCCTGTCTGCTCGGCCGCTCTCCTCCGTCCAGCTGCGCTCTGATCCGAGGAGGCAGCAGGACTTGGAGCCGGCAGCAGAGATGAGATGGTGGAATGGAATGACGTCAGAACGAGTGTCTCTCATCCAACTGAGTGTGTGTTTGTTTTAGAAGCCTCTCATCTGGCTCTCATTAAACCTATGACAGTGTGTGTGTGTGTGGATGTGACTGTATCTGTGTGTTGCCATGAATCCAGCTTGTTTGTGTGCGTCAAACATACAGCAGGAAGTCGGATGGATGCAGTGAGGGGCGTGTCTGGGGTGATCCGTGACATTTCTCCCATATTGCGCTCATCGGGTTCGGGTAACACGACACTGTTTCTGTGTAAACAAAGAACAAGGAGGTCATTATTTTGGGATTTTTATCCTAAATCCCGTTTTTGTAGCTGGAGAGGTTCAAACAATTGTTCGTCTCTTCACGGGTTAAATCGGGACCACCGCTTCATCAATAGTAATTGTTCATTATGTTGTTTATGTAGGCTAGWGAGGATCACGTTGAAAATTTCATGCAGCTTCACAGAAACGCCTCGGAGCTGAGAATCCAGTGATGTCTCAGCTCATCTGAAGAGCAAAAAAATGTATTTTGCCTGCATCTGAGCCTAAAAAGTGTCATTTTTACACACGTCAAAGAGGACTCATTTTTGATATTTCTTGAATAAAAAAAAATAATTAAAGCAAAGCAATTCATTTAAATCTTAATGTAATTTGTAAACTATTCAAAAACTTTGGTTTGGGTTCAAACTAAAGCAGGTAAATTGTTACATTAACAATGGAGTGTGTTGGAGCTGCTTTGAACAGCCAGCCAGCTAAAAAATGGTGATTAAATCCAGTTTTCCTGACAAAATGATCATAAAAAAATCAAGATGTTTTTTAGAACCCACCATCACTTTTGTTCTGGACTCTTTATTTTTTCTTTGCCTTTAAAAACAGAAGAGCTAAAAACTGCAGTCTCAGATAGCTGGCATAAAAC